CATGTCGTCTGTGGCATTGAGATGGCTACACATGTTGCCACTGACTTAAGTAATGAAATTGCAAGTCATGGGAAAATAAATCAGTTTTCTAATGTGACTCAATAATAAAAGAAATATAATATAAAATTATAAAAAAAAATGAAATACAAAGAGTATAAGTGTGAACATTGTTCTGTGTGGGAGGTGAACATATGTATGGATGTGTCAAGCTCTCCCCAATGTGATATCACGGCATATACAGGTATGGCGTAGCAGCCGTGCGTCTCATGTCAGCTGGAGCCAGGCTGGTAACTAGTACACTCAGCGTCACCCATAGGATGGTTGAAGCTATTTTTATACAAAAAATATGCACTATTGTATTATTTTCATTACTTATTACAGCAATTTTGTTCATTTATGACATATGTAAAATACAGAATAACGAAGGATTGGAAGCTATTCCCTTATACAGCACTCACTGTTAAATCTACCTATGACAACGAAGTCACCAAAAACAAAATGGATTTCGTGAACATATCCACTTCATTGCCAGAGGTATACTGTACATATACACATCATCCATTTTATCTCACACTGCACACGGCCATCCATGCCACATCCATAGAATCATAAGTATGTCATGACTCAGAACCTTCAAAAATCTTCTCTGTGGCTCTAAAAGTTTCTAGAATCTAGAACCTTAACTATATCTATTAACACTTTTGACAAAAAACAACTTAATTTACTGAAAGTATATCATAAATGTGATAATTTTACTTAAACTAATAAATTGCGAGCTTAAATAAGCAATCTATGTTGGCCGTTGTTTTGAACAGTTGTGCCTCCCTAACGATGTGGACGTCTGAATAATGGAATTTGTCTGACTAACGAAACTGCTGTGGGTGAATTAGTCCAGTACTCAGGGTCTTTACTGTATGTTTCTAGAGAGTTCTCAAGAGGACGAGATGCTATCCCTAGACCAACCTAGCGAGTACTTGGATTCACGGATAACAAGGACTTGGAATACACTGTACATATAATCACACACGCACGCACACACACACACACAAAATGTACAAGAATTAGAAATTATATTTTTTCACCAGAGTGGACATTTAATAAGACTATAGGGTGGTCTCAGTGGTGGAGGGCAGCAACACCTCACCAAGGGTACCGACTGTGAGTAAATTATATAAACCACTCTACGCCCACAGGACCTTAACTATAACAAAACACAATCCAGTGTTTCACTTGAACTACAGTTTGCAAGATGGACAATAGGCATTTAATCACATAGCGGAGAGCACGTGGAAAAATTGAAAATGGTCACAGATCACCATTACCAGCAAGACCCAGGCCAGGGTCTTAAACTGCCAACGGAGTGCTGGAAAACACAACCTGGTCTTTTCAATGTTAAAAGTTTATAATAAAATTTACACGAGTTGCCGACAGTACAGTACAGTACCAGTAGTAACAGTATTAGTAGGGAACAAGTTGTTGTTGCTATTGTTGCTGTCCAGCACTCTGGAGGTCAGGGACAACCTGGACTCTCTTTTTAACATCTAGCAAAGTCACTGGAAAAAGTGAAATTCTTAAGTTGTAAAAAGTTAATGGTTTCTAACTACCACAATTCAGGAAATCTAGTATGGAGACGGGGGAAGAAATTTAAATGGTCTTGAAGCATGACAATGAAACATGTTAATTTTTGCCTACTGAATACTAACAAAGAATGTTGAGAAACATTTAGCATTTAGAATACTTGTGTCACCTATATCATGAAACACACATTACAATTATCTTACAAAGTCTTTACATACCCTAAATGACCCAAAATATTACATTCATAATTATATTTACATTCTCAAGAAAAATATAGATACGTACACTTATAATCTTCTTTTTGTGTACTACATCCGCGTACTACTTCCGTGTACTACGTCCGTGTACTACGTCAGAGTACTGCAATGAACTCTTTAAAGTGTTTGTGAGGGTAGAACTAACGTTGGGCAACAATGTCACGTTACTTGTTTTACTGTAACCAAACAAACACCTTTGATTGTTCGGCAATGGCACACTAGGATGCACCAGCTTCTCCACTCATTGGACGACATTGGATTACTTTTTTGAGAGGCCTCTGCATTGCACAAGACATTGACTTTCAGAGAGAGAGAGTGACCTTCTGAGACCTTACCCAACAATCAAGGTTGTTTATATGTTACAAATTCTAAAATACTAGAGCTTAGGCACTCTAAATACAAACATCACATGTGTAGGGCTGTTATGATGGTGCTGATAAGGAGCACCGAAACTACTAATAACCTCTACTGGACCAAATTGATGAGTTGTGTACAATTTCCTAATGGTCAATCCCTCAGATTCTAAGTGGGCCAATTTCCACTTATTATGGTGGTACTAGGAGTGTGCAGAAGAATCTGATTATACTGCAATTCAAACACTTAAATTCATGTATATAAAATTAATGTGTTTGTATTAAACAGCTATTAGAAAACTAAATTTTTACTAGCTGATGAAATTTTGGCTATACTCATTAAATTTCCATATGAAAATTACCAGGGCCCTCTGTTGGATAGATTCATTAAGTTAATGAATAACCCATCTATGTGCACTCATTATTAACAGTCCACACCTTCACATTACAAACAAGACACTTCACCTCAGGTCCAAGAATGGTAACTCCAATTATGTAATGTCAAAGATATATATATATATATATATATATATATATATATATATATATATATATATATATATATATATATATATATATATATATATATATATATATATATATATATATATATATATATATATATATATATATATATATATATATATATATATATATATATATATATATATATATATATATATATATATATATATATATATATATATATATATATATATATATATATATATATATATATATATATATATATACATAGAAGAATACTGGAGACACTGGGCCCTAGCTGTAAAGTGGCTTAATTAAGAACAAAGTATCAGGTCCTCCAGAACACACCAAACCTTGGCTCATCACAACCTGGAGGTGACCCTAGGAATTGCTGCCACACACACACAGGGTCTTGGGCAGCCTCTGCAGCTATATATCCACCAGTGCAGGATCAGAGCTGGAGACTTGACCATCACCCTACATGTCTAGGCCTAAGATAAACACAGGCACAACTACCCCCCCCCTCCCCACTATAGAAGTCATTATCAACGCCTGCTCCAATGTACTAGTTCATAGGCCTCATAACATTATGGTGCTCATTCCTTCCAATTATTGTAGTTCTTCTGATAAAAATACAAGCTTCTTATATGTCAAAACATTTTTCTTACAGTAAATAGTCACCTTAAAAAAATAAAATTATATTCTACCATACTTAAAAAGATAAAAATTCAATCACAAATAATAATGAAACACTGTACTTCTATTCTAAAAGAAATTTTCCAAGGTAGTGAGCAGTGAATAGTGAACCTTAAAAAGGGGCAGGGCGTGGGGGGTTGGCAGTCAGCCTGCATGTGCTAATCGTTCCTCCTGGCCAAGGAGACCTTGGTCATGAAACCAGCACAAAAACCATGCAGGGGATTTTTCAAGATATAAAGAGAAGGTATCACACTCTGGACATAAATAACACCTTTACACATAGGGAAGAAGTTCAAGAAAGCGTATATGTTAATAGAGATCAAACAAACCTGTGGACAAACACCAAACGTGGTGCAGCCGGTGAGCATCACACCAATGCAGCCGCTCCCATCCCGCCCCCGCCTTCCCCTGGTTTGTGGATGGGAAGGTGGGTTTGGCCGGAGGGCGACGCACGGTGCAGAGTCCCTCGGCCTCATCGGCTATAAACACAATACTACTCATGCTACACATTAAGTCTACTACAGACCGTTGTCAAGCCCTTTTCCCTTTAAAAACATATCAAACATATTTAGTTTATGCTTGGTAAAACACAAAATAAATATACACCTCTAAAATTCCACAATATTAAGCCCGGTTGACTGAAGAGACAGTTCCCTGGCATTCGTTAGCCTATAAGGTTATCGGCTGAACTTCACAGATAATAGCTCATCACTTTAGTTTCAACAAAAACTCACACTTGATAACAGTTATCAAGTCCAACACAAAACAAACTATAACTCCTTTGGCCAACTTAAAAGTTTAAAAATGTAGCTTTTAAATTATTTCCTTCAAGGCAACAAAAGAGGTAATCCAAAGAACCCAGCACAAATTTCTTTCCATCATTCAATACTGGTGCTGTGGTCACCTCACGACTCCTGGCTCGCACACAAATGATAATTACAATAAAAATTATGATAAAAAACAATAATAACTAGCTATAGTCCTCTTGCTCATCAACAATATGCTGATGATATTTCCGCCCTTGGGACGGCTGACGCACGGTTATGATGCTCTCTGAGGGTGTGGTCACCAAGAGACAAGCGCACACTCGTACATGCACTAGTTCTACACACAAATCTGGGGCCTATACTGATGCTGCAGTTGTGTCAAGAGAATGCTCAACCCAAAAACTATTGGCCCCCAATCAGTAATCACAGGGGAAATATTATATTATGGAGCTTCATACCTACGGATATATTTGACACTTCCGGATGCTTACTTGAACTTTGTAAACACTAATCATTCACTATGAACCCCAAACACTTGGCACCAATATAATCGGTCTAGTTTCTTGTTGGCATTTCATTATCAATTCCCCTTTTTCTAAACTAGTCAAAGTGCAGCTAGCTCAGTAGTAATGACTTTGTTTCATGTGCTGCTTCTTTTTCCTGTGGTGAAGTAGTTCTCGTTGATAGGAGACCGAGGAGGGCACTGGAGGTCGGCCCCACACACACACTGGACCCCTCCCCTCTTTCCAGAGCACTTGCCTTTCCAATATGAGCTGTTACTTTGACTAAAATTTTCTTTCTTTTAAAAACTCTTTACCCTACTCATTTTATATTCTGGGCTTTTTGTATTTTTGGATGTTACATTGGATGTTCCCTCAGGCAAGGCTTTTATTCCGAGAACCAGATGCTCTGGTACTGGCTCTTGGCAGGGGAAAGTGCAGTGTAAGCATTGTATGGTGGGGCCACTTGTGGATGTGTGGGGAACACAGCAGTGGGTTGCATGTGGGCAGGAAGAGGATGGGCAGGCGGTGCAGCCAGCACAGTTCGTCCATTGCTGTGGTGAGCTGGTGGTGGCAATGCTCCTCTGTAAGATAAGAAAATTACTGTAAATCATTTATAGATAACTTAACAAATACTACCCTATGTTTAAAATGTCCAACAGTTAGAAAAGATCACTTATGTTACTTGTATATTATTTGTCAATCAAGTGACCCATTCCCCAATTATGTAACTGTATATTTTCAGCCTTTTGGCTGCCATGTTCTTTCAATAAACCATTAATTATTATGACTATTATTAAATATTATTATTATTATTATTACTATTACTGTACTGTCTCTGAAATTCTCTGAAAAAGTTGCCATACTACCAAAATATTTAGGAATCCACCAAAAATTTTAGTGTTTGTAGTTATTAATATTTTCATGTGCATATCTTCATCCAAGAAAATTTCATTAAAAATGTGTATGAAACTTTTTGAAAAAGTGGAGTCCTGATAATTTGCAAAATACAAAGTCACATTCTTAAATTCGTGTGTACAGTACCTCTATTACTAAATCATTTTTTAAATTTTGCTGTAAATTATTCATGATTCGCAACCAAGCGCAGGCTGCTACAGTGCAGTAACTTTGATTTAGAAGAAGACTGGAATGCATTTGATTCGGAGTATTTTGGGTAAGTAAAGCCTACTGTGTAGTAAAGAAAATTATATAACCAGATACTGTATGTGTTGTACGATACGTTTTAGCTTATATCAATGCTAGATTCCTTGAGAATATGTAGTACTGTACTGTATACAGGTATCCCTCGATTAACAATCGTTCACTTAATCATTTAATTTTTTTGACGCCCTTTCTTATTTTTTTTCCAGTTTAGCGACCTTCGATTCACTGGGAAAATTACAAGTTGAACAATAACATAGCTCACAGCTCTGAGTGCTACTGGGCGGCGAGTTGGTGACTTGGCTGCGCAATTACAAGTCATCTCCATGGGTATAATTCCTCATTATCCCTAGTTTAGAATATTATATCTCACTATCCTTCATTTAGCGATCAGTTTGCTTAACAACCAGTTTTCAGAAATACATCCCATCGTTAAACAAGGGATACTTGTACCAATCCAACTGCACATCACCTGTTGGAAATGGTTTGTGGTGTGTGACGATCTTGAGTTAATGTTGTCTTGTATTCCCACCACAAATATTTTAGGCAAGATAATTTTAATTACAATACCTGTACAGAGTACATTGTTATTATTTTAATACAATCTCTATGTTAATTAAGTTTACCAAACACCAAACATGAGTTCCACTCCGAAATATTTTTGGTGGGAGTTACTGGTGGTGCTGAGTGAGTGTCAGGTGATGCTCTCATCCTGCCTGCCGTCATATGATTTAAGATTCACATTTTATACTTGGTAAATAATATTAGACGACCCCAGTTATAGGGATTTTTTTTTTTTTTTGCTTCACAAGTCATCTTATATGCCACTATACAGGGCCATTACTACCCACCAGGCGATCGCCAAGGGCACCAACATCTGGGGAAGCCACAAATTCTGAACAAAGTTAGATAAAATTACCTAATCTAAGTAAAAATGCAAATCATAATAATAAAGGGAGGAATGGCTATGACTGATGACAGTTATGTTAAAAACTACCTTTGTTGAAGAAGAGTGTTTTACTAAAATTACAAAATTTCACTCTCACGACCAAACCCGACGCTTTGGGGCAGGGTGGGGAAAGGTTAGGTCAACCGTGGGACAGAGGGGATCAGGACTTGAGGTAGAGGGAGGGCTGGAAAAGGTGTGGACGGGGAGGGGGTCGCGTGGTGTTATGACGTGTCATGTGTAAGAGAAAAAACCCACAAGCCAATTATTTTACAAATGCAATGATTTTAAGAAATGCAGGATAATGGAATCAGTTTGTAATAAAAAATATAAAAATTTTAACTTGAGTGAGGGTATGATCAAACTGGATCCTGTGATGCAAGCATTGGTGGTACCTTGTCAAAGGTGACCGCCGCGGTGATGCGTCATGGGGGTTGGGAGTCAGGTGATGTGATTGTGCGGTGACGTCACGTGCACTGGATATAAGGAGTTTTTGTAGTGATGAATGTGCCAGTCCTTATCTGTAAATCCACTGAGGAGGGTGACAGTAGTCGCCGAAACTGTTTGGATTAAATATGAACCAATTCAGAATCCCAAGCAAGAGCGTGCGTGAGTGTACCATTAGCTGACTGATGGCAACGTTCGTGCCATGTAAACAAAGCAGCGGGAATTTAGGATGATGAAATAACTCATCAGGGGTCAAGCTTTTTTATTAACTTATCTTCAATTAGAGAATGGAAATAAATGTATTAATACAGTGTTATATTTATTATAGGTATTGGCTCAGTGTTTCATACTGTTCACTTAGGTTTTTATCTCATCTGGTTTCACATAAGTATACTGTATGGTTGGTATACAATTATGACTATTATTTTTATTATGGGCTTCTAATTATTGTCTACACCAAAAGTTATTAAAAACATGTACTGTGGGTTTTTTTAAATGGGAACATACATTAGCTTTTATAATGGGATTCATTGTGAATATGTAATCCGATAAAAAATAAAAAATAAAATAAAACAATGGTTCCTCAGGAAAGAAACCCTTTTGTAAATTGGGGAACGCCCGCAATTCTACCTTTAAATCGATGAGTATTTCTCAGAGTAATAGTGTTATTGCTCAAATAATCTTTTTCCAGTACTGTACTGATCCTCTATTGATAGTGGCTTGGCCAAAATAACCTTTAAGTTCTTCTACAAGTATATAACCCATTATATAAAAGCCGAAGATGATGTTAACATTAAAAACTAAGTTGAAGATTTTGAGAAGTCTTAAAAATGGTGGAATAGTTGCAGCATTTGGCAAAGGATACCATGTACAAAGACAAGTATACAGTATTAGAATTATGCAGTACATGTAGTTCTAAGAAGGGCCAGGATATCAACCCCAGGAAATGAACACACTGCCATTGCCATCTTTTATCATGGTGACAGTAACTAATTATGCCTTTGGCGGCAAAGAGAGTAATGAAAAACACAACAGATACAATAAGTTGCATTTGAACAGATAAATGCAGAAAAAGTCTGCAGACCAGCTGGTTGTGCCAGTCAGCTGACCTGGTTACCATTATCTCCCTGCACCTTAAACTGTAACCCATTATTTGTGTTCACATTAACCAATGCGATTTTTAATCATACATAAGACGAATCAAATGAAGAATATTGAATATTTCATTGTCTCCCCACGAATCTTCAAATGTGTGAATTCTAAATACGCAAATATTAAGGTACAGTATCTTTTCAATATAAACACATCTGATACCTGCATTAAGATATTTAAATATAAATCTACACTGTACAGTACACATTTATAGCTTCTTAATAATAATAATAATAATAATAATAATAATAATAATAATAATAATAATAATAATATAATAATAATAATAATAATAATAATAATAATAATAATAATAATAATAATAATAATTTGCCATTTGTCTTATCGGGCATTTAATCAACCATACGTTCATTCAACATAAGATACAGCCCGGATATTTCAAAACCAATCTTGCACAATGAATTTTAGTGAACTCTTATACTTGCACACTGTTATTTAATATTTCAATAAACAGTGAAGAGATTTCTTGTTTGTTAGTTGAGCAAGTAGATGAAAAATCTGTTTTTAGCAAAGGCAAAAAGGCAATTTGGGAGTTTACTTCCTTTAAGACCTTATTTTCTGATTTGGTAGCCAAGCAAATATTACAGAGTACACAGATTCTGGCCATACTAAAATTACCTTTATCTTAGATGATAATAGCTATCTCACAGCATGAGTTCTTTCTTTACATAATGAGGGATCTGGTTTTGGCCAGAAATGTAGCTGATTCAAGAGCAAATCAGTACTATAGCCATACATGACAAGGCTACACACAGTCACAAAGCGTAGCAAGTGCTATAAATCACATCATTTGCAAAATTTGTAATCATAAATGACCATAAGAGAGACAGTTATCAATATACAAAGATATCTGGAGTAAGAAAGCAAAATGTTTATTTATTAAATTATTTCTACCATAATACTGCTGTACCTTTACTTTTTTTTTACTAAAATAACACAAGTTTACTTACACTTATCACACACACAAACTACCCTCAACTACCTGGCAAAAAATTTGGTAATAATATATAAATACTTACCCTGTTGTAAATGGGTTGACAGAGTGTGTGGCTGGCAAGGAGGAGGGAAGGTAAGTGGGTTGGGTAGTAGCCACATACACTTGGGCAGCAGCAGCTGCCGCTGCAGCAGCTTGTGGTGGTGCAGCACGACGATATTCCCTGTATACATCTGCCTGGGTTGGTACAATGCCTGCCAGTGATCCACTCACAGCAAGCTGGGAAACTGGAGACAGCCCATGAGCTTGGGATGTTGGAGAATGGTGACTGCCAGACACATGTGCTCGTCCTAGTGTGTGAGCATAACTGAGGCTACTACTGCTACTACTCCCACTGCTGCCTTGTCCGGCCACCACCAAACTGCTTCCTCTGCCACTGCTGCTACCCCAACCCTTCATGCCCCCCACCACCACGCGCTGGTCACGGTTACTATGGGCTACTGGCGGTTGGGAGTAGTCCTTGTGCCCTGAAATAATGATTGAACATACACCAATATTCTCAGTACAGCACATACATCATCATGGTAAGCAGCTTCATTTCTTCCAAGTCGAGTTATTGATGTAAAAGGGGATATAATAGTTTCAAAAAATTCTTCTTTGGTGCAAAATGAGGGACCGATCCCAAAATCCCATTTCTGGGTTGGGTAACTCATGTACTGCCTCAAGAAGCTTGTGGGTTTAACCAAAGGTTCACAGGATTCCTCCACTTGTGCAGATAGGCTAGCTTCCAGAAATCCAGTAAAATTAAGACAGGGACTGTCCCACTTCAATAACACCCCCTATAAATAACTCAGCTTGGGTCATGGCATACATGTACAGTGACACAGCAGTGTAGACTCACAGTTCTTGGCCTATGGGCAACTGGTTTAATTTGAGATGACCTCTATCTATAGGTGCTTTGGTTGAACTAGGAGAGATCCTTTCAAGAATTGTCTAGTTTTACTGTATTTCTGGAATGTAGCCTAGACTCACAACACACATATGAAGGCCTCCTGGGAACCCTGTAGTTAAACCCACAATCTTACTGAGGTAAGTACATGAGCCTCCCAGTCAACTGAATCACTCATAAAAAACCTCTTGTGAACCTTACCATATTAACTAGAGAAAAAAAAAACTTTGAATGAGAGGGGTTTGTGCGGGTGAAACAAAAACATCTTTTTGACAGTGACTGAGAGTCAGTTTATAGATTATGGTACATTGTATTGTGGGACTACACTACACACAAATGACTGGTCATACTCTACAATGATTCTGGAAGTATAATTGATTAAACTTTAAAAAAGTTGCATAAATTATGTAACAAATAATTCAATATGAAATGCTGAAAAAAAAATGGAAGTGCAACTTATAACTACTTTACAGTAAATGGAGACAGCTGAGCAATACTGATAGAGGGGACCTTCGACATTCCTGTATGGTGAAGACAAAAATAATTTTGGATGGGAGTTTAACAATCGGTGATCACAAAAATCATAACTTAGTTTTAAAAAAGGAAGAAAAAATCCAAAGAATAATGGGGGTTTGAGAATAAATATATTAAGAAGCATGCTTAAGATTACTGGGATTAAAAAGAAAGAAGTTTACAGTGACTATCGAACCACAACCAAAGATGAAAATTAATTGGGTAGAGAAAATAAAGTCAAAGTGGTATTTTTTCGATTGCCAAACATGCATTACTAATTACAAGTCAATTGTGTTTACTGGTGGAAAATTAGCAGAAAATCCTAAATGAAACAACTTCATGAAACTTGATTTTAGAAACTAAAAATTTGTTGCTGCTCTTGGAGATTACATCCAATTATAAAATGCTTGAAGTAGTCACTAAGGACCTTGAGGTGACATAACCTAACCTCACCAGACACAAGGTTATCCTATAAAACATCCATGAGCACTAACTGCTGCTCAGTAACACATGGTCCAGAAACTAAACAATTATACTCCAGTATAGCACACATGCTCTTTAATAAACATTAAGGAATTTATTTTCATCATTGGAACACACTCATAAGAAAACAGAATATGTTCACCCAGTGTGATGGCCAGGTGAGCCAGAGATGTCTGACTAGCTCACCAAGTGTTCACAATGTACTGTATGTACAGTACAGGAGGAGGGGAGAAATCATCCTACAATATGGTAGTGTATATGTACTGGCTGTCTCAAAAAAATTTAATATACATACTGCCTTACAGACATTTGTAGCAATCATACGAATACCCACTCATGTATGAGGTCCCCAAAATGTTCTGGAAGACTTCGCACAACAGCAACTGATGACAATATTACTGTTGTAATGCAAGTATTTACACGATCACCACAAAATTAAGTAAGGCAATGTGTATACATTTTTATGAGACACCCTGCACAGGTATATGTAAAAATCATTTCACAAATCATTTAAGTTGGTGTTTCCCCATATGACCCTTGATCACCACCTGCATACAAATGCCTTAGTTTAGTTTGAGGTTATGAAAACACTATTCCAGCATGTTAGTGCAACACTCATGTCTGTGTCCAGAACTCAGTTGCCTAATTAGACTGGATTTATATATTCTAAATATATATTAAACAGGAAGACTCCAGATATTTGGTTTGTCTCTTAACATAAACCAGCACCTATTTGCTTCTGTGTGTCAGCCAGGTGTGAGAGATGAGGCCCTGTACCAGTGAAACAAACCTAACTGGGGTTCAAAATCCATAGCTAATATATTAAATGCCCTCCAAACTACTTCGGCCCAGAGGTGGTCCAGGTAACTGATGAATCGGTTCTGGAACAATAGTCCCTTCAAAATACCTATACTGTACTGTATTGATCTTAATAATAAAAATAATAAAAATAATATTTATTGTTATTATTACAATATAAATAATAGTAATAAAGGACAGTACTTTGCCAAAGTTCCTGTGTCGCACAATGTGACACATTACAGTACTCTACTCTTAAGTTACGTTGGGTTAGAATATAAAAGTATGCTTGGGGGTTTATCCCAGTTAACCCAAAAATTATCATATTTATTACAGGCAGAGAACCCATGATTAAGTTATGCTTACAATGTGTCTAGTTTAAGGCAAAAATTGGATTAAGGGTCCATAGTGTACTTTACTTAAAATCGCTTTTTTAATATTTAAGGTGAATAAATTACAGTACATTAATTCAGTAATATAAAACAATTACTTTTGCCTCCATGATCTAATGTGCATGATATGAGATCTCTTTTGTATGTGTAACAAACAGAGAGCACAGAGAGAGAGATCCTACAATTGTTCTTCTCCAGTCTAGCCACTGGGGTGTCTCCTTGCCAATAACAAGACACATGAAAAAAGGACTACATGTATTTCAACCAGTTGAAGTGATACTGAAGGCCTATTTAACCCTTTGGCTATGGCTTGGGGTAAAAAAAAATTTCATCATATACACAAATTAAAAAAATATATATTACAAAAAAAAATATATAATGATAGGGATGTAGACTAATGGAATGTGAAAGAATAGATCCTTTATCTAGTTTGGTTTAGCCATGGCGTAGAGCTCCTGTACTGCATGAAGTGGATGGTTCCAAGCCACTAGGAGATGGAGCTGAACATACTTCCTCCATGATGACTGGGTGTGTACTGAGGCATGGTTAGGAGTCCAGGGGGTGGTGTAGGGTGGCCTAGAGACCTGTGGGTCAGTCTATAAATGCGTCACTTGACACGCAATTTTAAAAATTTAAGATAAAAATTTGGCAGCCTCCTGGTTTATTGCAGCCACTATAGCAGACCACTCAATTGGCTTTTCTCAGCCGAAGAGTTAAGGACATTTCTTATGGGAAAAACCCACACCTACTTTAAAAAAAATTTCAATTTCTGGTTCCCTTTCAGTATAATTGAAGTACTTTGTTATTAATCGCAAGTGTGGAAAATGGCCATAAAACACTGATGATGATGAGAAATACTAGATGATGTGCCACAAAAACAGTCTCCTCCTCACTTTATTCCTCCATACAGTATATACACGAGACCCTTAAGTATAGCAACTTAATCTTATGCAATTTTGACTGCTTGTGGCCAACTTCCCTTTACACCAATTTGGACATGTAGATATTGCAAGTGTTAGTTTTCCCTCACAGAGGCCATGTGTACTTCTCTTCTACAAGAAGAATTGATCAATACTACTCATACATTCTCTTAAAGAGGAGGATGGGTTGGACATGTATATCTCCACTTATATCAACCATTTGTAAATTTAAGGCCTATCTATACCTGTTACCGCCACAGTAGGATAAACTAGAAGAGAGAAAGGGAGACAGGAGAGAGACAGTGTTGACAACGAACTTTGCTGAGGTGTTAAATGTGAAACAGATGGCCCTCGCCTCGGGCTGACTCGCTCCCTGTGGGGTTCAGAAGATAGTCTCTAGCTGTCCAGTGAGCTAACAAGTCAGGGAGCTAATAAGTCCTACATTAGACCCGAAACACATTTTGACTGAATAAAGAACAATCGAGTCCTACGTGCAAGGGTCTCATTATCTCACAGTCACTCAATTGGTGGTTACAGTCAAGACGTGGGTCCTACAGTCTGCCGCTACAGTCTACTGAGAACTGGCGAGTGACTCGACCGTCGACGGACCTTCAGCAGGGCCCTTCCCTCTGGCACTCGACACAACCCACAGCTACGCAGCAGGAGAGCGGGGTCGCCTTTGTGTGAATTTGTGAATCATCGACTAAAGTGTGATGCCTATAATATAATCATAGTTAACCCCAGCAAAAAGGGGGGTTGTGGGTGGAGTGTGTGTATGGTACTCGTATGTGTACATAGAGAAGCGTGACGCCTCTGTATGTGGGTTCAGTGTCAAAAAGGACTGGTCTCGGTGCCAAAATTGTTCGTAAGGGAGCGCGGGAGTGTTATCGTTCATTCCGGACAGGCACGCCGCCTGCCGCGAGGACCGCGTGTCAGGAAGGAGTGGACTCTTGTGTCAATAACATTCGTGCGTACAGGCGGGAGAGATAGTGTTCACAGCGTACAGCCAGACTGGATCGCCAATTGTAAATAAAATTTAAGAACGAGTGAGTTGTTCTTTCTATTAGAAAATAATAGTTGTGACAGTTAAGTAACGTTGTGAGTAAGGGCGCAGTAGCGTTTGTGGCATCAGTTTATGATCTTAGCAGTTGTGTAATAATCCCCACACTGATTGTGGTGCCTCTGTTGTCGTGTTAGTATGACATCGCTCATGCTTATTGCACGCGTTTGTATGACTTCAGTTGTATGACATCGCTTGTATGACATCTCTTGTATGACTTCAGTTGTATGACATCACTTGTATAATTTCAGTTCATCGCTTGTATGACCAGTTATATGACATCGTTATAAACGAGCAGACATGTCAGTTGAAGAGCATTCCCGATTAACCGAACGTCTTTATAACTGTGCCACCAGTCATGGAAGGGAACAAGGCAGAGGAGATAAGCCTAGCCAGCACAGAAGACCTGGAGGCCCTGAACGATGGAGATGCTAACCGGTCACTCACACAGCCAGGGCGAAGTGGAGAAACCCTTTCACCCGAGAGAAGGATGAAACCAGCAGGGTGGATGAATAGGGTAATCGGGGTTATCAGCGGACGCTCACCCAATTGACGGCAATAATGTAGAATATGAAAGATCATATGGAGCAACTGCAGACATTATGCGATACGGAGGACTTTGGCAAGATGCTGTCAGTACCAGGAGGAAGGCCTTTTCTGGAAACGAGTGAGGGGATGACAGCCGCGACGAGGTATCCACGAGACACGTTGTCAACCGCCGGAACCAGGAGTGTCTAGCTGCTACACCTCGTCACCCACCCAAGGAGGGTTCCCAACATTCAGCGCCTCAGAGTCGGGAACATCTCATCATGGGGAGAGGGAACATGTTTCCACCCGTCATACCCACTTTCCGGAAGCAGTGACACCAACTGAAACCCAGGAAATGGAAAACCAAGTACAAGATATACAGCGAGAACGCCCAGGACGGATGGAAGGGAGGCCATCGGACACGATGCTACCAACCCAGAGACTGGAAGAGTTAATGGCCACTATGAGGCTTCCCCAGAGGCCAATGCCGAGGTTCAGCGGAGGGACTTGTGATGAGTATTGGGAGTTCAAGCATGCCTTCCAAAGACACACTGGGAAGGTGCCCATACCCTATGCACTAAAATTGGAAATACTTCTCTCGGCCTACACCGGCCGCGCTAAGAAATCCCTAAGAGCGTGCCTGCAAATAGAAGACCCCAGGGCAGGATACGAACAAGCTCTAGCCTTGCTAGAAGAGCGTTATGGCAACAAGCAAGCCTACGTCCAAGAACTAATAGGCAAGGTCCTAAGTGGCCCAGCCGTGAGAACAGATGACATTAAAGGAACTCGTGGACGATCTAGGAAATTGCGTAAACAACTTAAAGGTGCTGGGAAAACTGCACGAAATTGACACGTATGATTCACCGAATACTTTGGCTAAGAGATTCATGGGAAAGATCAGGGAGCGATACGAGGATAGAGCATATGACTATGAAAGGAGAGACGGGAATTCTCCAGAGGTCGAGTGGATGAAGGATTTTGTACTGAGATGCTGGACAGGACAAGGAGGGCTTCAAATGGACGAAGACAAGAGTCGAGCGGGAGACGAACAGGCTCACACCATTCCTCTTCAGAAAAGAGACCTGTGGGCCTAGTGACTTCGGGAAGAGAGGAGGTTAGAGGAAAGGACAACTGCACTTGCCCATTGTGCCCTGGATATCACCCTCTGCAGAGACGCCAAGCATTCCTCAACATGTCGACTGGAACGCGAACTTCACTCGTACGTAAAGAACGTCGCTGTTTCACCTGCTTAGATCGCGCTCATCGGATGGCCAAGTGCATCCAGAAGAGAAGGTGCGGCATAGATGGCTGCTATAACTTCCACTCGAATCTCCTGCACTTCTCAAGAAATTCTATGCGCAATAACACGCCAAACCAGGACGAACCATCAAGAAAGGAACTCATAGCCAGTTTTCAAGGGATAAAAAGAGCTTCCACCATGGATGCACACCAGTCAAAAGTGCCGCCTGACCACAAGCGGCAGAAGCTAGGTGACTGTGAACTCAAGGCCATCATGTCGGCACCGAAATCAACAACCAGTGGAGCTAGGCCATGGAAACCCAAATCCAACTCGAGAGTTACGGAGAAAAGGGCTGGAAACAGGCAAGTTGCACTGGTGACCACGAACCGAGAAAACCCGTATAAATGGGCCAGAGATACTTATGGTCGAGAAAATAACCAGTGCGAGGGGACCAAAAATTACGACATATGACTAGCAGATCCAGGCAGAGTTGCACTCCCCATATTAAAGGTCAAGGTCGGGGAGATAAGGCGAGAAACAAATACAACAGTGATCACCGGAACACTCTTGGACTCGGGCAGCAACAGGTCTTACTGCACCGAGAGCCTAGCCAACCGACTACGAATAACAGGGAAGTCTGTTTCAATCTCCATAGGCACGATCCTGAAGGAGAGGAAGAGCGTGAAGGCCAAACAGATCGATCTGAATGTGACTAGCGTCGGAATGAGAAGAAGTCGATCCATCAACATTCCCAGAATCCTCGTTAGGTTGCGGACACCAGAGCCATTGCCAAGTGGAGGCACCTCCAAGGAACCACACCACTCCACGCACCAGAAAGAGTGGACCTCCTGATAGGGTTAGATGTACCACAAGCCCTAACACCGTTAGAAGTAAGGACCGGGGAGAACGGAGAGTCGTTCGCGGTGCGCACACTTCTAGGATGGACCATAAATGGACCAGTATCTCCCACATCACCCAGTATTGAACCAAAATAAGCCCGGGAAGTTGGGAATAGTTTTTGACCGTACAGCAACGGATGAGTCAGTGTCCCTGAACAGCCAAGTGATACAAGGGTCAGACCTCAACAACAAATTGATGGGAGTCCTCATTAGGTTCCGACAAGAAAGGGTGGCACTCATGGCTGATATCGAGGCTATGTTCCACCAGGTACGAGTACTGCCTGAGCATCGAGACACCCTGAGCTTCCTGTAGTGGACAGACGACCAACTATCGTGATGAGCAAATGACCATGACAAAGTTCAGCCTATTGGAGGGAGTCAGAGAGTGAGACTCCCGGCAGACAATGGGTTTTGAGCAAGCTCAACAGGGGGAGTGTTACCACCACAGTAGAATATGTTGCCACCACAGTAGGATAAACTAGAAGAGAGAGAGAAAAAGAGGGATAGAGAGAGAGAGAAAGGGACACAGGAGAGAGACAGTGTTGACAACAAACTTTAGTGAGGTGTTAAATGTGAAACAGATGGCCCTCGCCTCGGGCTGACTCGCCCCCTGTGGGGTTCAGAAGATAGTCTCTAGCCGTCCAGTGAGCTAACAACTCAGGGAGCTAATAAGTCCTACATTAGACCCGAAACACGTTTTGACCGAATAAAGATCAATTGAGTCCTACGTGCAAGGGTCTCATTATCTCACAGTCGCTCATTGGGCGGTTACAATACCTATGACAGGGATTGATCTGAGTTAGGTTAAGAACAGGTCATGGGCCAAGTGTATACCTGCCCTAGTTAGGACAAGAATCTGCATGGTTTTAGGCAAAGTCTGAATTTAAGGGTCTTAGTTTACTGTATACTTTCATTGCAATCATTTTTACTAAAGATAAATTAGTGATCAATCTAGCATAAAAGATTTTACCTTCTTACAAGCACTGTCTAATAACCTGCATCCCATTTCTTTTCATTCCTCTAAGATAACTTCACCATCACAAATTACATAACCTATCATTACTGCATTTCATTTGGTCTATCCACATTATTACATGTGAAGATGAACAACTTAACATAAGATACATATTGAGAGATCAACAAATTTACTCCAATGATAATGCATCTAACTAGTTACTGTTTTAATAAATAATGCAAATGACTTCAAAATGTAAAACAATAAATATACATAATGTAAAACAAATACTAAATCATGCTTAAGCTCATACACAACTACTATGAAGAATAATTAAAGAGGAAACTGAATCAATCTTACCAGGCGGGTGCACTCCAGACTGTATGGAGTAGTCTTTGTGGGCCTGTGGCGGCTGGGTGTAGGAATGGGAATGAGTGTGAGAGTGAGTGCGGGCAGGGTCACGTGTGTGGGCGGCAGGTGGTGGAAGGTTGTCGTGGTGGGCAGGTGGCGGCTGCAGTAGTGAATCTCTGACGTGGGCAGCTGGGGGGGCCAGGTGCTCTCTGTGGAGGTGGGGGGGATGAAGGTCAAAGTGCATTATACTGTACTAAGCTTTCAACTTCCACAACATTCATCATAGTTCATCTATTTTACTAGTTACTACATATTTAACCTTACACTTTAACATAAAACAGATCACTTAATTATACTGAATAAATGGTATGAACAATGGGATGGATGAAGAATACGTACTGAGTGAGGGAAGCAAGTCACAGAGTTTTTTTATAATGTAACTGCAAAGTCTGTGCAGGTAAGAAAAGTTATAGTGGAACCCATTCTTATTAATACATTTGCAGTATTTCTTCACCTCCCAGTAATAACACTAAGATATTTATTTTCGAATTTTTTAAACAATTGGTTATATTTCATAGGTATTTACTTACACAATGTAACATGTTGTAAACCAAATGTTATATAATAATCCCTTGAGATAAATGTACAGTATTACTCAGGTACCACTAAGAGGCTCTCACGTGGCCCAGCAATGTCATATTTATTGATTTTGTTCACTCTGTACCTGCATTTTTCTAGTTAAATAAACTGTTTCAATATCAAATAAAAAAAATAAAAAAAAGTGAAAGACTGGTAATTCAAGTGTATAATTCAAGAAGTGGAAGGAACAGCAAAAGACCAAGGAGATGGAAGAACGGTGTGAAGGCTCTCTATACAAGTGAAGGGAACGGACTCCAGGAAGCAGGAAAGTGTGTGTGAATTAGGATACATTGCGTGGCTAATGAGAATGTGTGTTTTGCTGACGACTGACGCTAGATTACCATAGATTGCGGCGTATAAGTCGACATTTTAAGCTTGAAAAAATCTCTCCAAAACCAGAGGTCGACTTATATGCAAAGTATAAAATGTGAAGCTGTACCACATAGTGGTAAACAAGTGGAACAGCCTGCCTAACACTCGCTGTGCATCACTTAGCGTAACTCCCATGGCCTGCTGCTAATATTTCCTACTGAAATTCATGTTTGGTAAACTTATTTAACATAGAGATTATAATAAAATAGGAAATTCAAATATAATTAAACGAACACAACACCACACGCCATTTCCAACAGCTGATGTACGGACCCATAGTTTCGCAGTTGGCCGTGTGGTGTCGGTGGCGCCACTGGCAGTTTGTTTACACCAGCTGATGCAAATGGCAGATCGTAAGCCAGGTGTATCATAATGTTCTACTATCATACCGTATATAGCGGTACTATAAAGGTGCTATACTGGTATGCTGTGTAAACAATTAATATTTTATTGGAGGTGCTGATTTTGGCTTGGTGTTTACCAGAGTTCTTACGAAGATAACTTACTGAAGACTTTTAGCGGTTGCTTGCCGTCCTACGTGGATCCTGTTGCCCACTTCCCTTTTTGTATGAACTATATAATATATACCGGTATATCAAACATTGGAAGGTATTGCAGTAAGTGTATTGATGAAAGTTCTAGCCTAGCCTGTGTTTGGGCCTTGGGGGGTCAATTTATGCGGTGAGTATAGGCCTAAACCTGAATTTTGAACTAAAAATCTTGAGGTCGACTTATACACCACAATTTACGGGGATAAATGAGACAGAGAAGTAGGGACCACAGAAGAACATGTCTGATATAGCAGTAAGGAATGACAACAATGAAGTAAGAAAAGAGAAACCAAAACAAAAACACACACACACACACACACCTGGTGGCATAAACATTCTCCCTGGTCTGTTGTGTTGAGTAGTCACGGGCCTCAGGCTTGGCCACATGAAGCATGCACTCACTCTGAGCCTTGGCCAACAGACGTTTCTTCTGGCTCTGAGATGCACCGACTGATGTGTAGTTATGGGACAAACTGTCGATGTACAAAATAATATATTAAGTTTAATTACCTTGATTTTATCTTGATTAAACCCCCTACCCTATTGCTATTTGTTCACCTAAATAAGCTAAAATATTCTTTTTCTTCTCTCCATATCCAGTAGAACCTCTATACATAGGACTTCAATACTACAGAATTCGCTTTTTGGGGACTCTCTAAGGTTCTCCGGATCGCCCCTCTATTCACCAGAAATATTTTAATAGTCCAGAAAATCCAACATCAGCCCGGATGTTTGTGTGTTCATACATGTGTTGAACGTTTGTGCATGAGCTCAGCCAGAGTCCTGCCTTCATTCGCATCGTACCAGTGTGCCGCACCTCACTACCTACATTCATTTATATGAACTTTTTGTGTACAATATGTATTATCTTTAATGGGGATATTATAACTAACTGTCTTAATAATAAGAATAAAAAAGCCTGTATCGCTCAGCAGGAGCATGAATCCTCACAGAGATGAGTAACAATTTAAATACACCCACCTAAATACATTACAAAGAATAATCCAAGGTCAATAATGGCTCCATCTACCTAAATTGGGTAGAAATAACCTTTAATCTCTAAAAATTTACTATAAAAGAGGAACAATATTTTGGATATAGCTCTTAAAATGTTGGAAGGAACTCCAAATTCTAAAATGAAGGATTGAACCCGATATCCCATTTTACAACGGAGTCTGAAACAGGTAATTCATATACAGTACCACCAAACAAGTCTACAAGTTGAAAACCCTGGCATTCTTACCACTGCTAACAAACTAACTCATCAATCAGTTCATACCCTCCCATCTAAGTATCCAGTTACCACTCAATGAGTTTTACTGCCACATGAGGAAGAACCTAGTTACGGACTGTTACTTCCCAGTTAACTCTCTGGTCTCCTTTATACTCCACAGTGTGACCCCTTGATATTCTTAATCCCATGGCCCTTATTCTTCTTGACAGGCACCACAGCAACACTAACCTTTACCTCATCCTGTTCACACCCTCATATCACCCTCCATAGAGAAGTCAGATCACCCATTTGCAACATTGCACTGGGCATCTAATCCAAGGGTATATTTAAGGTTCTGTTAAAATCAAGTAAATTCTTTAGTAATGAAGATGAAAACTTTAAACCAAAACTGCAATATCAGGCTGTCACTGCAGCCATATGATCCATGAGGCTCATTATGCACCATTAGACTAAGCTCTGTTAAGCTTTACAAACTTGTATACAGTGGTTTTCAGTAGATAGAAATACAAGCATATATATGCATGAAAAGGACTAATTACAGCTCATGCTGATTATAGATTAATCAAGTTACATTTAAAGGAAAACAAAGGAACAACTGTGACAAAGACATAGTTGAGGTCCTCATCATCTCAACCTAAAAAGCTCACTCAAATATATAGACAAAATACTGGCAGAATAAAAGTTCAAGAATATCTCCCTCAATTTCTTGGCATCAGTTTTACATATTACTAATGCACTGTCATATAGTAAAAATATAAATAAACAAACAAAAGCACCCACACACACACTGTATACCTCATATTTCCCCCATTATTATCCTTTCACTGATCCTCACCACGTTTTCTCCTATTTTACCTCATTAATAGAGTCAGAGCACATGTTTGCCATATTCACTAATTTATGGGATAAAAATGAACCATTTTTATAGTGCCTTTACCTGGCGTATTTGTCATCATGCGATGTCTGAGGTTGCTGGTGCGAGCTGGATATAATCTTGTTGTGGTTGTTGTTGACACATGTAGAGCAATGCCGGTCCTTGCAACATTTACCTGAAAAGAGTGTAATATATTTTTCTCAGGAAGCAACCAATTACTGCACTCAGTTTCCCTATTTTGTATTCTGTGTATTATACCAAAAATACAGGGACAGAAAAAAATAAAATAAAATAAATCACACACACACACAAAATTACCCGTTCCATTAAATTTGGTGCGGAAACAAAGATTAAAACTCCATCGGGAGATACTGTTAATTTCTTTATACTGGAAAACATACCTCCTGCTTCATCATCACTGTCGCTAATGGTGATGACTGACACAGCAGGTGATGGAGTGTCACGAATGGTGATGGTCTGCTGACGCCCACTGCCTGTAATACTGCTGCTATAACTGCTGTTTGAGTGCTGCTGGCTACTGTGTGTCTGTTGTGCTGGCTGTCCTGGATGTCCACCTGAGATTACAAAAGAAAAAACAAATCAGAAATGTTATTCATACCTCAATACTGTACAGTGAATAAATCAAATATCACACTAAATGTGATAAAACTGCAGTTATAAATATGAGACACTTATGCCCTCTTTCATTTTGACATTATTCAATTCACTATGTCCTATATAGGATATATCTAATTCTCCCTTATCTGCTACATTTAGCAGTTGTTCAGATATTTTTCTCATTTCCTTTTAAATTCCTCCATTTTTTACAGCAAAACATCAACTCTTTCAATCTTACCTGATCATTATTTACCTGTAGTCATGCCCTTTCAAACTTTATCAGAACTTAGTCAAAACTGTTCAATAAAGCTTGGACTAATGCTCAGATCCAGACACTACTTTGCTAATGAACAGACAGTAACTATTCATGTAAACCATGTGTGCTCCCAGATGGAGTACAGCTAAAACCTGTCTGTGGGTTTAATGTGATGTTGGGGTTGTCCCTGTGCCCCCTTGATTCAGAGCACAAAAAGGCCATTTAAACTATTAAAAATACAGACTTCACCATAAAATTGTCAGTACTGCACATCTACAAGCATACCTCATCTCCTTCCAAATCCTAAAGCTGTTCCTATACATGTACAGGGTATCAGTGTTCTGGTGAGCAACACTCCATCTATCTACCAAGGCATCTGGTAGGGTCTGTTCTGTTTTAGACTATGTACCTGCACCATCTTGCAGAACCTATGCCCATCAAAACTTATATCTCAGGGGTTTTCCAAAAGCACATTATCTCCCTCAGTTCAAAACACCCTGCCTCCAATATCTTCACTCTATGGAGAGGAACAACCTTGGTCAATAGCTCTGACAATGACACTATTCTCTCTTCACCCTTTTTATTTGTTATAAAAAAATCAAAGGAAACTTTGGGGAGCTCACAGAATATCATTGCAAAGCTCAATTACAATGATTCATAAGGCTATGAAGAGCAACAATTAAATATATACCCATGACAGCCACTGTGCTGCACCATGATATGCCCATCTTGAGAGGGTGTAAACACATAACCTATTGGGGAGGTCTTCTACAGGATTTACAATTACAGTCAAACAAATTCAGACTATTGAAACAGTAAGCATGATTATTATGGGGCCAGAGGAATTTCGGAATTTTTCGGTTTTCAGAATGGTTAGTTTTTTTGTTTTTTTTAATGTGTATTAGCCCACCCGGGCATAGATCACTGACCCACATCAGGGCCTGGGGGAGGGGGGCGAAAATATAATAAAAATTATAATAATAATAATAATAATAATTCATAAGTCTAGGTCGTGTTTCTCACTTTTGATCTTTTTTCCATTCTTGTATTTCTTTATTATTATTATTATTATTATTTTATTATTACAGTACTCCTATATTATTGTTATTTTTATTAATTTTATTATCATATATTATTATTATTATTAATGTTATCATATTTTATTTTGGTGTATTTTTATTAAAATTTGTATTTACTATGAATAATTATTATTATAATTATTATTACTATTACATTTTCGCCCCCCAGGCCCCGATGTGGGTCAGTGATCTATGCCCGGGTGGGCTAATCACTGTTTTAAAAAAAATAAATAAAAAAAAATAAAAAAATATTGCCCCACAAAAAAAACTTTCGGTTTTCAGAGCTTTTCGGTTTTCAGAATTTCGGATAAAGGGTTGTCAACCTGTACTACATTTCATTAAAATCCAGTGCTTTATCATTTTTAATATGTAATAAGCTGTATACAACAGACTGGAAGTTATTGAAATCTTAACCACACGTTTAGCCTCGGCACTAAAAATGGCTGCCATATTCACTGTAGTGGACATCATAATCAATTCCACTCACAAAGCTCATTAAGCACCAGGAGACCAAGCTCAATTAAATTTCATGAAAACAATATCTAAAAAAAATTAAATATAAATAAATAAATAAAGGCATTAATTACTATTCCTAAGCATGTACAAAGAACCATCACCTTATCAAATATGGTTGAAATTTTTTGACATTTTAAATAAATTTAATCTTTGTGATGAGACTTTTGTACCACATTCAACTGAAGCCCAATTTTGAAGTGGCTGCATAAATAAAGAAATGTTACAGTATGGGTGAAGGAAGAGACAGACTGGCAAATGAGCAAAGGGAAGAAAACACCAAAGACACAATCTACCCCACTACCTTCTCACACTATGCAGGTGATGAGGGATAGTAAGTTAAGAAATTGAGTCAAAGGCGGTCTTTCTTTTGATCGAGCGTTTAACTCACAAAGACGCCTTGGTGGCCAAAGATGTCAACCCTGGGCAAGAGGTGGAACAGGCGTGGTGTAGCATAAGTCTTTAGAAGATAATATGAGAGAGAGATTAGGTCACACACACAATCCACTGTAGATGACATGATGTGGTGTGGAGGTTGAAGCACATGCAAGGTTTACGTCGACAAAGATAAAGGAGAAGATTAGTAAACAAGGAATAACTGTGGTAACTCCTTTCCACTAGGTTGGAGATTTCAGAAAACATGGAAAACAGACAAGGTTCATAATAAAGATTTAAATTACACTAAGATCTTTTTATCCCCAATGACTTCAACATGGTAAAGTCTCATGACCAGTTTGTATAACGTGGAGCAGTAAAACCACAAGGTGACAAGTGTGACGTGGACCAACCTGCATGAGAGCCGTGACTGCCGCCGCTACCGCTGCCATGACTCGGGTGGGTGGCGTGGCTGCCGTGTGTGACCGCGTGATGACTGGAGGAGTGAGTGGCATGATGGGTGGAATGGGTAGAGTGGTGGCTCTGGTGGTGAGGATGTCCCTGGTGGTGCCCCGAGTGGTGTGCCGAATGATGGCTGCTGGGGGGGAAGGTAAAGGTACACACACCAGTTAACAACAGCCTTCATCTTCACATCACAAACAAACAACCCAATTAGTATTATATCATCTTATGGATTAAGGATAATACAATCACACAAATAGCCAGAGACGTTAACAAAGCCAACTTTGTTCAAAAGACTGATTTCATCTTAGGACATTTCATGCTGGGATGCATTTGTCAAAGTGAAGTACATTTTACCTAACTAACCAAAATCTCCATGCATACATATGACAATGAAAAAACTGTAGCAGTAATGGGATTTGATTAGCTATACTGTACTAAGATGAAAGAAGAAGGATGAGGGACAACTGGAAGAATTAATATTTCATGTGCTGTGACTAGGAGGAAGATGCATGGATAAAAAAAATTAATATGAGGATGGATTATGGATGAGAATAAAATTTAAATTATGAAATGACATGACATGGGGTGGAATCAATTAGAAGAAACATGGAATACAGTACAGTATGTTGAAGAAGTCTCAACAAATACGAAGAATGTACAGAAATTGTATTAAAGTAAAATGAATACCGGTAACATCTTTCCTGATGGGAGTTCATTTAGAGGGCAAAGTATCCCTAAAGTATTTTATTATGGCTAATGCCAGTCAATTTTATTTAGCTTAGGGGACCTCTGCCCTCTAAAGGGTTAAAAGTCAATAGCTTATGCATGGAATTAATTTTCACTGGTTGCTAGAACAAGGCACACTTTAACTTCACATTTTGGGCTACTGGGATAATATGTCATAACTTAGATCCCTTAACCTGGTGAAGCTGGAAACTAACAAAACACCGTTACTCACTTGTGACTGGTGTGATAGCTGTTATGGTTGATCTGAGGTGCAGCACTGCTAATGCCCCAGTGTGCTGATGATGCCCCAGGTGGTGTGCCCTCCTTCACCCTCTTCTTAACAGGAGAAAGCTGCTGACTTAGATCCTTCTTGTCATGTGCTGGAGGCTGCGCAGGTCGGCCTCCAACATGCAGTGTGTGCGCTGCATGTGCACCTGAATGACCCATTAGAGAGGCCTTACTTGAACGTTTGCTTCCTGCCCAGGTGCTTGATGGGTAGGCTTCATACAGTTCTGGGTGGAGGTCAACAGGGAACATTGCAGGTGGTGCATCTCCCTGAACCACAGAAGAGTCTACCAGGAAGGTTCGTCTCCAGGCATCAGTTGCATCAGGTAGTAAACTACCAGGCTGCTGCAGAGAGGTTGGAGGCTGTGGGAGCTGTTGCCATCCACCAGGAACAAGCGCCATCTGTCCGCCACGACCCCAACCACCACCCACCGCTGCGCCAGTGGTGAGAAGCATCCCACGTCCAGGTTGTTCCACCATGGATACTGGTACGTACTGACCCCCACCACCCACCTGTGATATTAGGTAGGACCATGAATAATCTTCACAATAACATTACATGTCAAAAAATTATTGTGCAAGGTGGTGAAAGACTCCAAAAGAAATTTTGTCAAAGAAACTATTCTGTAGTAACACACCTAGACACCATTCTTAACTCAAAGGTTGTTTAACCCATAAACTTGAACATAGTCCATTAAGTATTTTTCAGTCACACAACAGCAGTTTTAAAAATCTTGAAAGCAATAACAGGTCCTTCAACAACCACCAAACAATAAATCAACTCTTACAATGCAAACAAATAACTGCCTAAAGCTAACATAGTTTGAAAATTAATGGCCATTAGAAGCACTGGATATTTAATATGAAACTGGTCATCAAGTATATATATCATCCCAAAATGATACAGCATCCTGTGTGATATCCTGGAATGTCATTAAGTATAGTACAGTATTGGAGAAATTTTATGAAAGGAAATCAAGTCCATGAAAATATACAATAGAACAAGTCAATAAATAAATCAAAGAAATCCATAAGTAGCTCACAAACAATGGACATTACCTCATTAGTTATCTATATACAATCAATCTAAGGTCAAGGACTCTGTCTTAAGCTATGCAGGAGGGTTGTGAGGAAGTAAAGGATACTGGTATGATTGGAGAGGTTGAGCCCTTTAAATAATCAGAGCTGGGCAGGGCTTTACATGTATCTCAGTACATAATGAAGGCTTAAGATGTTTGTGATTAATAACCTGCTGACTCACTTGTTGTGGAAGTAAAGAAGGCTGGAGCTGTAACTGTGGCTGCTGGGTCACTACGGTCACATGTTTGCCAGGTGAAGCCAGGCCCTGGTAAGGAGGAGGACACAGTATGGATGACACCAACTGCGGAGGGAAACTTGCTGCTGCTGCCTCTCCACGACTGCTGCCGCTATATCCACGGCCACTACGACTTCCTTGATATAGTCCATACTAATGGAAGAGAAAGAAAAAATATTTTATTTTTTATTTTTGGGACTCAACCTTTTATTCACCAATTCAAAAACAAAACACTGAAACCTTAATTTGAATATCAATTTTCTCTATTCCAAAAATCACCAAGAAAAATTAATGGATACTTTATGAATTTACTCAACAATTACGTGAAAAAAATATCAGTGCACCTAACAATATGTGACGTTACCTGGTCCATGGCGAAGTAATAACAATTATTTTATTTTACAGTAGGGTCGGGATACAGTATATTGCAAGACAGGGTCCAAGGATGTTCACTATATACTAAATCACGATATATAATTACAAGTAATCAATGGGGAAAATAGGGTTAGGTTCTGGAGGCCAATAAAAGTGACTAAACTTGACATAAAATGGCAGTCTAAAGTTAGCAGAATATAGACATCATATATTTTGCATGAGATAAAAATTTTAATCCGATATACGAAAATGTACTAATTAGTACTAAAATATTTATGTCTATTGCGAACTATAGCATGTTTATATTCAAATTAATCACTATCTTTCAAGAATTCTGGCAATGTTAATTAGATTCTCTTGAGTCAATTCCTTGACATTTTATCATTTTATAAGAGAAAACATAAACTCCCCCTATGTGACAGATAAATAAATACCACTAGGTAACAGTTGTCCGCGCTCCTTCCGGCAAGATTGAAAGTGCTTTTAGGCTCAAAGTTTTTATCTTATAAAATGCCACAGACTAAAATTAGAAAAATATAAATTGCATTGCTGGAATCCTTGCAAGACAGCAAAAAATTTGAATATAGACAGCATATATTTTGCACAAGATAAAAAAAAAATCAGCTCGTATTTCTGGGGCTATTTAGGAGTGTTTCTGACTTTATACGGTTTTAGGCTTTATGTGAGGTCCCGGGAACATAACCCCACGTAAGTTGTGAGTCTACTGTAAATAAATTCATTGCAATATATTGGAAAATTATGATAATTTTGGTGGTAGTGATAAATTTGAAATATTTCCTGCCCGATTACCCTCGCGAAATGAAAAAATTATCGCTTTTTATAGGAAAATGTCGATAATTTTGGTAGCCGCAATAAAAATTTGTTTTTATATAAAGTCACTATATATCCCGACCCTACTGTATTATATATTGATGTAGGTCACCTAAAGTTGACTTCAATGGTGACTTGTCTCTTCAAGAAAGCATACCTGATTGGTAATTTGGTTGTTGAAGGTAAGAGTGACAGAACCATTGGTGGAATGGACGTAGTTGGGCATGAGTGAGGGTGGAAGAGCCTGTGCCTGAGAGACTGCAGCAGCAGTGGCATAAGGCGGAGCTGGCCTCCGACAAACCTCCATCATCTGCTGAGATATGTAATAAGATGACTTAATTAACCTATATATATCTCCAGTGTCAACCTTCATGTAGTCTATTTATCAGTCATGCTTCATACCCAACTACTGTACAGTAGTTTCTCAACTGTTGATTGATATTTGAGGACACTTGATATGGCTGAGCCAAGCGAGAGCCTGAACCCTCTTAGTGGCACCTGTTATATACTGTGGGTGTTATATTTTAGAATTTTCCTAAAAGATGCCAAGGGCTGGGTCTAATGGGTAATATGGGGTTAAGGGTAGTGATCCCTGAGATATACCATAAGTCTTATTGTGCACAGTATCTCAAAAATGTATCTGTCCACACACTGTGTGAAACATTATGGGACCACGGATGATAGATGTTGGGACATGCATTTACTCTGGTATATAGGTTAACATAAGCAATGCAATGTGTATTTATTTTGGCCTAATTAATATGATGTTCAGTTACCAAATGTAGTAGGATTAGTATGCCACAGATACCAACCCTCCCGGGACATCACGAGTTGCATGTAACATTTCAAAAGTCATCAGACCCCTCCTGGCAGATACTTTTTGAGGATACTGCACAGCTTAAGGTTATAAATAAGTACAGGGTTTATGCTATGCTGTAGAGTACACTGTACAGGTAATAATAATAATAATAATAATAATAATAATAATAATAATAATAATAATAATAATAATATACATATTACATACACTTCATGTACAGTCTCGTTCAGGATTCTTCGAACACTGCTGGCAACTCAAGGCCGTTTGTTTATTATAGTATGTAGTAAAAATTATGAATGAATGAAAAAGTGAGCGGTGATTGGTTACTTAGTTCCTCGTTTGCTTAATTAATGATAGGGCTTTTACATTTATTCATAATTTTTACTACAAACAGGAAAGCCTCCGATAACGACAGTTCTACTAACGACGATTCATATTTAAGACCCTGGTTAATTTAGGACCCAATTCAATTTACACCATTATTTCCTTCCTATTTACGACAAAAATATTATAAAAAATAATGTAAAATTAATTTTTCATATAAATAAATAATAACTAAATCCCAATATGGATTATACAAAAAAAGAAAATAAAGAAAAAAGCCTTGCGCACAGAGGCTGCCGGGCTTGTGAGTGGTGACACCACATCACAAGTATAAACAGTCACAGCTTGGCAGGCCTTTTGTTTTTAAGCATCTGAACAGGAAAAGGAGAAAAACATTCTCAGGTTTCTTACGGCATTTTTTGCATCCCTAATCAACATGAGCAAGAGAGCAAGTGATGGTAGTGCTGGTTCAAAAGCTAAAAGTGTATACCGGTTAAGCTTAGCTGAGAAACTAGATGTGTTAAAACGATATGTAAAAGGTGAGAGGTCTGTGGATATTATATGGAGCAAGCAATGAACATATTTTCTGAAGTGGATCCATTAACAGAACGAAGCATTAAAATTAACAGGGACGTGAAAAATGCATGACCTCCACATAAAGATGTATAATGAGAAAAGAGTGGCTGTGAAAGGTTCTTTCGACAGCTTTATTATTCGAAAGCCAAAACCACCAACTTCAGCATCATAAGCAGTTTCAGGTTCAGTAACAGTTTCAGCAACAGCTATGACATCTTTATGGAAAGCTTCAGCTTCAGTCAGAGTTGAACCTACAGCTTCAGCAAGAGTTTGAACCTGATGTTTTAGACTTTACCACCGTCTGTGAGTAGAATGTTTTTTTACACTTAGTATTATTTAAAACATATATGAACAGTAATAAGTGTTGCTTTCATGTTCATATGTAGAGAAATGACGATGTTCTCACTTGTACGCACTTACATACGATGGCATTCCCAATCTATTTCGTTTATTCTTTACCATTAATGGTTAGCTACTTCTATTGTTCCATTTATTGACATTAAATAAAATTACTTAAAACATACATATAAATTGTTTTACATTAATTTTACTACAGCTACAACCAGGGTCTTATTTTCTTTAGTTTATGTAGAACCATCGTCACGGACTCACGGGTGTAAACACTCACGGAAACAATGCCGTCTCCTCTTGTGTGTTTTAATATTCTACGTATTATTAATGAATTACATTGTTCATTTCACATATATAAACATTATTTCAATCAAATACATATTCAGTAATAAACAATAATGAATCTTTTGTACATATTCTTGATAAGATAAGTGACGCGGTTTCCTTGAGGGCATAAGTATAGTACACACTGGCGTTCCGCTATCACTCTTTTTTTCTTTAACATCAGTGGTTACTTGTACTGTACATTAAATAACATAAATTAAAACATACATATTTTTTTACATTAATTTTACTACAGCAACAACCTGGGTCTTATTTTCTTCAGTTTCAGATGGATAACTGACATTATGAGTGTAAACACTGACAATAACAATATTGTCCTATCTCTTGTGTGGTCTTATTATTCTTGATTTATATTGTATAAGGTGCATTCATAAACATTATTTAAAGCATATAGTTGCATTTTTCATTAATTGTATTGTTTTGGGGGGAGGAGGGTAAAAGGCCACACAAAAGTTATGAAAAGGTCACACTGGGGAACGCATCTCATTATTATTGTCTTATTTGAATAGTAATTAATGATTAACCTTACACTGCAATATTGGAGGACACATTACCGTAGTTATTCGAGGCTTTACTGTACTATAGTAAACAAACGGCCTTGAGTTGCCAGCTGTCTCTAGCGGTGTTCGAAGAATCTTGAATGAGAATGTACGTTAACAGGATGGTGACTGCACTGAATACCTGGCCCCAAAACTCTCCCTAGCAATGTTGCTTCATGACATCTACCTCCCAACCTCCCCTGCAAACCATCACTTTTCTTTACAGTTCTCACAGTTGACCCATTAACATGAAAATGCCTTTCAACAGATGCTACTCTTTGACCACAATCCAAAGATTTTAAAGGAAACTCCCAGGTTACAAGCATACAGTATTCCTTCCCAAACTTTGTTCATAATTCATTTGTTTAGAACTCAAAACTCAATTTCTTATAGACACAAAAGTTATAAATGGTACAGTAGTTTGGTTCCCAAGACAGCACAAAGTCTGTTGTCAAGTTGAAATATTGTATATTTGCAATCAAGCTACAAACATAAAACCAATTTATATTGACATAAGCCACCTCACCCAGTGTCAATAGTAACTATATTTGATTCATAAAAAAAAGTCCTGTACCAATATTTAACTAAAAAATCCCTTGTAACAGGAAATATCCAACTAACAGCAGTAGAAAAAATAAAGATACACTCATCAACAGCCATTTATACCTAAACATAACCCACCTGCATGGAAGCCTTGACATTGGAGCAGTGAGGATAATCCAAAAAGTGTTGAAGTGTGACGAAATTATGTTGGAGTGCCTCGCCCGGGCTGATACGCCGCTCTTGGTCCATTGTCAGCATTCGCTTAAGAAGGTCGATAAACTCCCTTCGGTCAGCCTTTTCTGCTAGTAACTCACCACCTTCCAATTCAGTGGGCACGTTCACCTGACCCATGTCGTCTAGGCAGTTGAAGATGTACTTACGGGCCTCTTTACTTTTGATGCCAGTTTCCCCCTCGTGTTCCTCTGGGGTCTGAAAAAGCATTGTAATTGTAATCGACATGGAGATGTCTGATTACAGATCAAGTGGATTATGAGGTTAAACTCCTGTAACTACAGTAATATAACCTGGTCATGTAAAACTTTCTTCATGAGTCCCAGCATGGTCTATTTTCATCTGTACACTGTGATTCTCCTCATATATTTATGATTGTAAATCAGTGATGTACAGGTAGTTGAGACTGACCCCAAGACCACAAATGAGGCCATTCATTAATTTTAACTTTTTTGGATCACCAGAAGATTAGTCCCCTCCCCCAAGTGCTTACCCAAAGTTTCACCCTCAGCTTAACTATCCTGAAACTATCTGCCCTTCCCCCCTCCCACCCCCAATCTATGGGTGATCCATAAAAGGTCAGTCTTGACTACATCACTGATGTACGTAAGTTCCAGAACTACATATATGCTCTGTAATAAACCCACAATACATTTAAGATAACAGAAGATGATTATCCATGGAAGCAAATTTGAGACTAAACACAAACATTACTGTTAGAAAATATCCCCTAATCACTGAAAATGTATCAGATTGTTTTACAGTACGTATAGCATAGTGAAATTAAAAATACAGTATTACCCCGCTTTACACTTACACGGTTCACTTTCCACGATTTCTCCGATTTCTCATCAGAACCGGACTTTCACTTTCCGCGGTGCATCTACTCATATACGCGCGAAGTATAATTTTTTTTTATTTAGCTCATAAAATTCATACAAATTTCCCTGCCAGAATATAATTTACATTGCTGAAATTCTTACAATATGATGATCATTTTGAATATAAACATCATGGATTTTGCATTAGACATACAAATTTTAGATCTAATGTAATAATTTGGTTTACACAAAGCAAATATTTTATCGTTTGTGCAAAACATATGAAGTTTACATTCAAAATATTCCCTGACCTGCAAGGAATCTAGAAATGTCAATTATATTATCCTAACTTTAGTCTGGGTTATTATTTATTACTAAAAATGTAAATATACTATTTTCTCCCAATCCCTTCTCTGGTAGGGAGGGAAGGTGGGGGGTAGGAAGGGAGAGAGGGCAGAGGTGGGGTATTTTGATTGACAGAAAGTGTCCTTGAAGAATATTTCTTTGTTTATTTACTGAAGATATTTGTTTTAGCTCATAAAATTCATACAAATTACCTGGCCAGAATATAATTTACATTGCTAGAATTCTTACAATATGATGATCATTTTGAATATAAACATCATGGATTTTGCATTAGACATACAAATTTTAGATCTAATGTAATAATTTGGTTTACACAAAGCAAATATTTTATCTTTTGTGCAAAATATATGAAGTTTACATTCAAAATATTCCCTGACCTGCAAGGAATCCAGAAATGTCAATTATATTATCCTAACTTTAGTCTGAGGTATTATTTATTACTAAAAGTTAAAATCTAGTTTTTTCACCCAAACATTTCTCTGGTAGGGAGGGAAGGTGGGGGGTGGGGGGAGGGTTGGGACCGACCGACCCAGCTGGCGTGAGTGTGAGGAGGGGGGGAGGCAAGGTGGGGTACTTTGATTGACAGATAGTGTCGTGAAGAATATTTTTTTTTTTATTACCTGAAGATATTTGTTTTAGCTCATAAAATTCATACAAATTACTCGGCCAGAATATAATTTACATTGCTGGAATTCTTACAATATGATGATCATTTTGAATATAAACATCATGGATTTTGCATTAGACATACAAATTTTAGATCTAATGTAATAATTTGGTTTACACAAAGCAAATATTTTATCTTTTGTGCAAAATATATGAAGTTTACATTCAAAATATTCCCTGACCTGCAAGGAATCCAGAAATGTCAATTATATTATCCTAACTTTAGTCTGAGGTATTATTTATTACTAAACGTTAAAATCTAGTGGTTTCACCCAAACATTTCTCAGAGAGGTAGGAGCTAGTGAGCTGGGAAGAGGGGGGGGATTTGAGTCCATTATTTGAATGGACATTAACCTGGCGACAGTATTTCTCTTAAATATTAATTGTGTGAGCATACCATCATAAAATTTAGATGTTATTTTTACTACAACATAGGTATTGTGTCGGAAAAAGTGGAGTTTGGGGGTCGGGCCAGTCTCTATTGGAATTAATCCCATATGTTCTGTTGTTCACTTTACGTGGTTTTCACTTTCCACGGTACCCTGTGGGTTCAATTGACCGGGTAAATGGGGTACTACTGTACAGATGCTTTAATATAACTAGACATTGTACTGTACTAACAACACTTGTCATCTGTTGATCAATGGGGGTACTAGGGGAGTCACAACTATCATTCCATCATATTTGGTTCTTTGATGTCAAAGGGAGTGCAATTGTATTAAGAGTCTGCACACCATAGCATCAATATTACACAAAGATATCCTCATTCATAATTAGTTCAGACAATTGTATGTCATAATTGAATACTGTATGTACAGTACTCTACATAGTACTCCTGCCAATATATGGTTTACCATATTCCAAAACTATCACCTAAGAGTACAAACCCAAACCAGTTTTATAGTAAGAGGAATTATTCAGACTAAATGCAATCCAAGAGACTAATAGATCTCACCTTAAGCCGCCAAAAGGGATAAGTTGACTCATTGTCTCTGTAGAAAAACTTAGTGGTTTTGGTGGCATTGTTTAACATGTGTTCTGCAGGGATTCCTTGTGTCTGGCTGATGTATCGGATCTGGAAAAAAATTAAGTGGTTAAGATCAATTACACTGATCTATTATCATCCAACAGGGTACAGTAAACATATCCCTCTTACAACATCAGGGGCAGTGTAAAAACTCTGATGCTAAATGTTAATTTGTTTAAGCGAAAAAAAAAATTGGGGACACCCTTTCTCATTTAATGTTGGGTCAATATTCGGTTTGGAGATAGCTAGACTCACTGGGAAATCTTACATAACTGAAAAACTCTTTAAATCTTTTCTTATATAAATTGATCATCCGATATTTCCTATCAGACACTTAACCGACATATGGAGTTCTGAAGGAAAAAAGTTCTCTAGAGCCAAATCTATTTACAAGACTCCCGTATAGGAAGTGACAAACTACTTCAAGGCACATACAGTTTATGACTTTCCCTAAAAATTAAAACCAACTTAACCTCCAACAGTGACATACCTGATCATACTCTGATGACCCAGGATACAGCGGCCATCCTAGGAAAAGTTCAGCAATGACACAGCCTAAAGACCACATGTCGATAGCTTCAGAAAACGGAAGCCCTAAAACGATCTCCGGAGCTCTGTAGTAGCGCGACTGTAGGTAGGTGTTGCACACAGCTTTGCTGACATGAGATGCACTTCCAAAGTCAATGACCTTGACACGATAAGGCTGTCTAACTGGGTCCACCAACATGATGTTTTCTGGCTTTAAGTCAGCATGAATGAGGCCAAGTTGCTGGGCAAGAGGGAAAAAAATAGTAATTAGCTTCTAAATACAGTGTTACCTCTCTATACCAAACTTCTATACACCTTAATTTCGCTATATAATGAAGCACTCCTCAGACTCCACAAGTACCTCTCTTTTCTGAACGAATTTGCTATATACTGAAGTCTTCCTCAAGTATCTTAAATAATACAATTTAATACTGTAATACAATACTCTAATGTGACTTAGAAATAAAGAGAATATAATATAAAACTATAAAATAAGAAAAAACAGGAGTGAGAACTTCATTCTGTTTATGATGGACAACAGGAAAGACAGGTTGCTTGCTGGACTGAGTGGAGAATCCCCCCTTAAAATGACATTATGCAATTTCACCATTATTCCCATACTACAGTAAACTCCCTCTAACCTGGACTCACTTAATACGAGACTGAGGTGCATTGGTCGAGATAAGTCTGGTCTAGGGTGCACAAACTAGAAAAAATTTGTCGTTTGATGCAACCTAATTGACCAATTCAACACATTATCAACATTCAGTGTAGAGGCCTCCAAGCTGTAAAACACTGAGCCTACAACCCATTTGCCTATCTAGTACTATGGCTAATCCCCAGCAATACTGTAGTACACTGAATTAGCATAAACTTGCATATGACAAAAGTACCTTGAGTTTAAGAAGTGCTGTCAAAACTTGCTGAAGAATGGGTCTGATGAACTTGAGGGGTAATGGTGAAAATTTATTCTGTTTAAGGAAGTCATAAAGGTTCTGCTCAAGCATCTCAAACACCAAGCATGTGTGGTTCTTGTGCTGGAAACATTCAAATGCTCGCACAAAGTTGTAATCATCTGCACTCTCCTGGCTTAGTCTTGTCAGGATTTGGACCTACGGAGAACACGAACACATTGTTAGAGAGATAAAATAAATTCGTTTTACTGTTATGAACTATTTAAAATGTGCACTTCAGGCCAAGAGGGGTAATTTCCCACCGTTCCCCACCTATGAGCTATATTATATGTTAAGTTGTTATGGTTATTTATGAACTTGTAATTTCAGGTAGATGCCCATAGTTTTCTTCTTTTTATTACTTTGCTACATGCACACACAATCCTACACACACAAAAAATAAATAAATAAAAATAAATAAATAATTTTCAAAGGGTATCAAGTTTTAACTACAGGCAGTCCCCAACTTACGACGGGGATACGTTCCTGGACCCCGTTCGTAATTTGATTTGTTTGTAGATCAGAACTGTGTTAATTCCATAGTTTATGTTAGGATAAAGCACAACTCTGCCCATACAAAACAACAATAATATCTCATATAAAACAAATAATGTAAATACGTGCTGCAAATAAAGTGATGTTAAACTGTATAGAATAATGAAAATAATGTAAAAAAAAGGGGATTTTAATTACAACTTTTTGCAATGAATGTATTGGGGTTTCGTTAGTAAGTGCAGGTGATAGTAAGTTGGACGGTCATAACTTGGGGACTGCCTGTACAGTACTGGGTGTAAACAACTTAAGAACGCCAGCCAATACGAACGGGATTAAACTTTAGATTTACAGTACTGTATTTTATTTACCTGATGACTTATTTTTTACTTTCATTTACTGTATTTTGTCATTCTATTTATTCTTTTCTTTTAAATAAGTGATTTTAGATGTAAATAAGGACTTACGCTATGATGTACAGTAGTGGGATTTTAAACATTGTTCTGTAAATACAGTATGCACATAGCATGTGTTTCGACTTGTGTACATTTCTAACTTAAGAACATCCTCGGGAACAGAACCCGTTCGTAACCCGGGGACCCCTTGTACGTTGTTTCACTTAACATGGCATTTTTCAAGAGAACATGTCCAACGCATAACAAAGTATACCGATATAGTCCTTCAATTCCATTTAACCCTCGCAAAACATCCAAGAGAGGAGGGTTGGGGCTTTCTATCCTGGCTTGGTTATAAATCAGGATTTAAGGATCAATCCCATATTTAAAACTTAGGTGTGCCTAGAACAACTTGTTAATCCCAAGGACAGTAAAGATTAAAATTAGGAAGGTCCTGTGGCTGCCAGAATGAGGGGTCCAGAGCCACGACAGCCAGGAATACCTTATTCAGGTATAGGCCATAAACAGCAGAACAACAGGGTCAGCTGGTAGATTATGATCCATTAAATTTCATACCTGAAACAGTGCCTCAACTGTTACAGCAGGCGGAGTGAATGGTTACAGGTGAGTATTGGAGGAAGAGGCTTAAAGAATAATTATAAATACAAATAAATATAATTGTAATCATTTCAGTGCTCACCTCAATCTGGCCCTGCCTGGCATAGGAGGGGTGGTTCTTGAGGATTTTGATTGCCACGATGTCATTGGTGCCCTTCTTCCAGCACTTGACCACCTGGCCAAATGTGCCTCTCCCCAAGAATTCCAATACCTCATACTGTGCAGTAAGTGAATAAAGTACCTCATGCTGCACCAACTGAAAATAAATATAAAATTAAATACTGTACATTTGTTTATAACTATATATACAGGTTGTACCTCTCTAGTCCGGCATTTTGTGGTCCAGAACAATTTTAGTTTGCCCAATAGCCGCTACGCGGCATTGGCGGAGTGGCGGTTGGAAATCAGTTTGTTAACATCCGACAGTTCGGCTTTCTCTCTCTCTGTTTGTCTATACAGCGTACAGTAGGATCTCATACTTGGACACCTATTTAGACTGTAAAAACCTCGCGAAATTCAAATCGTCCAAATTTAAATACAACTTCCTATGGAGAAAATTAATTTGAGTCTGGTACTTTCGATGTTTGGATAAATTTTGCCTTATTTACCCTACTTTTTTGGCGAATTACTACCTGTAATAAATTAACATCCTAATAGACCAAAGAAAAATAACAGATAAAGTTAAATAAAAACTAAAAACAACAGAAAAAGTTTTTATGTTCTACAGCTTCAGCTAGAGTTGAACCTGATGACTTGGCAACTTCGTCAACCGAGAAAAAACACACACAACATTGGCTGTCCTTATGTTTTCAACTTTACCACCACTGATGGGTAGAATTTTTTTTTTTAATTCAGAAACAATTAAAATGTATATGAACAGTATATAAGTGTTGCTTTCATATTCTTATGTAGAGTAATGACGATATGTTTTCACATGTGCGCACTTACATATGCGATCTCACTTTTTTCTTTACCATTAATGGTTAGCTAATTTTATTGTTCCATTTATTAATATTAAATAACATTACTTAAAACAATCATATGAATTTTTTACATTAATTTTACTACAGCTACAACCAGGGTCTTATTTTCTTCAGTTTTATATGTAGAACCAGTCACTGGTTTTGTAAACATTAACGAAAACAATGCCGTCTCGTCTCCTCGTGTATTTTAATATTCTACGTATTATTAATTAATTGTATTATTCATTTTGCACACAAACATTATTTCAATCAAAAAGACATTCAGTAATAAACAATAATGAATCTTTTGTACATAAGAGAAATGACGCTGTTTACACGATTGTGCACGTCTGAACGTTGGCGGGCCGCTCACACCCGTCAAAATTTTAAATTGTGTAGTGTTTTTTTTTTGTCCAAATAAAAAATGTCGAATTAAAAACTCAAACTTGAGAACCTACTGTACAACATTTAACCCTTCAACATGTCTTCAAAGAGACCACGAAGCAGTGAAAGTGGTCACTATCTATCCAGGAAAAGGGTGAATTTCCATGGTCCGGCACCGGTCAGGTCCCGAGGTTGCCGGACTAGAGAGGTACAACCTGAAGTACAATTAAATACATTTATTTATATATTTACACATTACAAGAACATTTTCCCTTACTTGAAGCCGAGTCAAATATTTTGCTCTCTCTTATATAGGCAGTGAATATGAGAATTCTTGTGCCATAAATATACAGTAATGGTATCATTCTATTCGTCACTTCAAACAAAAAGGTGTAATATGTACATATTATATATGCATGTGTACAGGTATATCCATATCCAGTACAGTATATAATACAGTAGTAGTAGTAGTAGTAGGAGGTGGGTGCAGGTGGTGGGCGCCTCAAACTGGTTAACTACGTTACCGATAAGGGCAAATGGTTTCAGTCTTAACAAACAAGAATTTACAGATGCCATTGCTCTAAGGTACGGTCGGCCAGTAGAAGGTTTGCCCTCCCAATGCGTGTGTGGCTCTTCCAATGACGGCGATCACGCCATGGTGTGCAAGAAAGGGGGCTTCATATGCATGAGGCATGACGAAGTAAGGGACCTTACAGCAAATATGTTGAAGGAAATCTGCCGGGATGTCATGGTAGAACCGACCCTCCTTCCATTGGATGGTGAGATCTTCCAACATAGGACTTCTAACACATCTAACGAAGCCCGTGTTGATGTCAGTGCTCGAGGATTCTGGACGCGGGGACAACGAGCTTTCTTCGACATCAGGAATATTTATCCCATGGCCGCATGTCACCGTAACCTAGTTCTCGATGCTGCACACAGAAGGAACGAGAACGACAAGATAAGGGCATATGGGGAGAGAATCCAAAACGTTGATCAAGGCAGCTTCACTCCTCTAGTGTTCACAACCTCTGGTGGGATGGGACCAAGTGCAAGATGTTTCTACGCCAGACTCCCGGAGGTGATCTCCGAACAGAAGCAGCAGTCCAGAAGTTTCGTTACAGCCTGGATGAGATGTCGACTGTCTTTCTCTCTCCTTCGGACGGCTTTGCTCTGCCTCAGGGGAACGAGAGCTTCTGCCCCAATTCTGACAACTGCTGCAGATATCGACTATGAGGCTACTGTCACTGAATGCCGCATAGATCTGCGGCTCAACTAATTTAACACAGATAGGATAGCTACATATGTATTAGGATATTTAATATTAAGGTAATTAAATAGTGGCAAAGGTGTGGCTATTGGGGGAGGCTGGAGGCCACGTTATAATAAAAAAATAAGTAGTAGTAGGCGCGGCCAGCACAGCATGGGTGTGGTGGAGTGTCCTTCCTGATCTAAAGTGTTATTGGACGGGACATATTCGGAGTGTGGGAGCAGGAATTTCACAGTGTGTCAGTGAATATTGGATGTCACCCTAAGCATTGTCACCGAAGGTTCTCCTCATCCCTTACGGCATTGATCGCAAATACTCCTTGTGTTCACTGGCGATCACCAAGCGAGTTTTGAGTGCTAGGTGAGACAGCTGGTGCAGGTGCCAGTGTCGATAGGCCTACTTTGGCGGGGGTGGCATCTAGACTCTCGCCCCTATGGGGCCAAGTGTTCTACTCTTGTTGTCACCTCTCACAAGTAACGGTCACTTCATGTAGTGACAGCTGACCAAGTGAGTATATATAACTAATCTTACATCAGTGCGACCATAGAAATGGTGGTTAATTCTGCCAAGGATATATAAACAAGTGTTAGGTGTGACAATTCTCGCTCCCAGTGTATTGCTCTGATGTGTGGCTTGTCGCCCTCAGGGGGCTGGCCTACACACCCACGCGCGCACGTGTGCCCCTACTACCCGGATACGGCAGTCGAGCCTGCCACCTCTCCGCCCTTTCCTCATAAGAACTGGTTTCTTCTGTATGGGACCAAAGCAGATGTCGGAGGCAGACGTAACTGTCGCCCAAAGTGCGGAACACTATGCCGGATAACAGACATTGTTGCGTCTATGCTAGCCAGAACCAAAACTGCACTAGCTGTGATTATGCGAGAAACAACCAACCATGTGTGGTTTGCAGAAAGGGAAACAATTGTCGGAACCCACATGGCAAGGAGCCGACACAGGAGGCCACAGTGGATATCACCGGGACCCAACCACCCGATAATATCCAAAATGATAGCAGTGAGTCTACTCAACCTGAAAATGTAGTACCAATAAATGCTGCTCCAATAGTAGCAGATGTCCACGAGGTGATTGAGAGACAGCCACCACAGTGGAATGGCATGTCGATGGAAAATGCGGACATATGGGTTAAAGAAACTTACTCGGAAATTGTCAGGTGGTCGCCAGCTAACCTGTTTGAACCACCCAAGTGTGCGGCCACCAAAGAAATGATTCAGGAGATTACTCGCCTCATAACCGCACACTCAGGACTGCTTCCTTGCCCCTTTAGCTCTTCAAATACTGGCAATAATACCACATCTATTCTGTCAGAGGACACACACAAATACTAAGCACAAAGAAAATGTGGCAGGAATGAAGAGAAGATTGACAATGTGGCAGAATGGGGCCCTTGATGATCTCCTAAGTGAAGCAAGAACACTGAAGGAACTAAAATTTATACGAGACGAAAAGCAAAACACTGATGATGTTGCAAGAAAGTTTGGAAACAAAATGATTGCGGGAAAAGTGTCTTTGGCGGTAAGATCTCTCACAGAGGAATCCTCCAGTGGGGTTCTGCCAATAAACAGACATTAAATCAACTAAAGGAAAAACATCCCCCTGCAAGTGAAGACGAAGGCATCAGGTTCCAGGGTGACTATATCCCACCAAACGCTGCCCTGTTCGAGAAAATAACAGGAGAGATGGTGTGGAAAAAAGGCACTGAAAACTCGGGGAGGGGCCGGCCCTTCAGGTCTGGATGCAAACGGTTGGAGAGTCATCCTCAGCACTAACAAATTTGGCCCCGTAGCAAGTGATCTCTGCATGGCCATTGCCGTCCTTGCAAGAAAGCTGGCATCCTCATGCTGCCACCACCTCCATCCTCTGACGGCCTGCCACCTCATTCCCCTGGATAAGAATCCAGGATGTAGGCCAATAGGGGTGGGGGAAGTGCTGAGACGGATCATCGGAAAATGCATAATGGAGGTGGTAAAGGATGATGTCAGGGCAGCAGCAGGGAACCTGCAAGTTTGTGCTGGCCACCAGGCTGGAAGGGAAGCTGCCATTCACTCCATGAGAACGATATTTGACCAGCGCGATTGTGAGGCCGTTCTCCTGGTCGACATTTCAAACGCATTCAACATACTTAACCGCAAGGCCGCACTGCACAACATCAAGATCAAGTGTCCAAGCTTTGCAATATATGTTGAAAACACCTGTAGGAATCCATCAGACCTTTATATGGTAAACAACAAGGCTCTAAGAGGGGATACCATCATACAGTCAACCGAGGAAACAACGCAGGGGGACCCTGTTGCAATGGAAATGTATGCAACAGGCCCATCCATGCTCCAACACACAATAAAATTTGAAACAACCGAGGTCAAGCAAGTGGCGTATGCTGACGACCTTACAGGAGCAGGAAAAGCGGAAGACATCAAAAAGTGGTGGGACTTGGTAACATCCCAAGGTCCACAAATAGGGTACCACCCAAATGCCTGCAAGTCCTTCCTCATTGTGAAGCCAGAACATTATGAACGGGCAATGGAGGTGTTCGGTGGATGTGACATTAAAATAACAAAGGACGGCCAAAGACACCTAGGCGCAGTAATCGGCACGACGGACTTCAAGACCGAATACGTAACG